CGCCGACAACAGCCTCGACCGCAAAAGCTCGCAAGGCTACACCATGAAGTTGTTTGGCGGTCTCATCGGCTGGCGCGCAAGCAAACAAGACACGGTCACCACATCAACGACGGAAGCTGAGCTCTTGGCGCTCAGTCAGGCTGCCAAGGAAGGCATGTACATGAGCCGACTGCTCACAGATTTGAAGGTCTCTCTTGACGAAGACGCTGTCACCCTGGAGTGTGACAACACCCAAACCATCCGACTGGTTACCTCTGAGCTTCCAACGCTCCAAACAAGGTTACGGCACGTCAACATCCACGACCACTGGCTCCGACAGGAGGTGCAGAGAGGTACCATCAAGGTCCTGTATAAACGAAGTGTCGACATGATTGCCGACGGCTTGACCAAGGTCCTAACGAACTAAGCCTTTGAGCGGTTCGTAGCCCAATCGGGGCTGGTGGATGTGACGGACCAGTTGGATGAACGAAGAAAGGCTGAACGTGAAGCTGAGGAAGGGAACGACAAGGGAACGGCCTGACGCACTGAAGGACTGGCTGTTCGTCACACTCAACACCAGTTCGGACTGGCAGTTGCCACCGTACTCCGGCAGCAACTGGGGGGGGTGTGTTGAACTGAACTGGCTCCTTGGCACCTGGATTCAGGGGCTGGGCACTGTTGCCCAATGCAGTAAGCGTGGAAGACTCGTCACCCACCAAAAGCAGGGTCTGGCGAGGGTCCCGAAGCCCTCGGTTCTTTCAAGCAACACACACACATGACGCATGGTTCAGACAGTCAATTCAAGCTTCATCTTGTGCCTCAATTGATGCTGTGTCACCTGGTTGGTCTATGCCTATTCGAGCCTGTAACTGTTGCTGTCCAACAAATTCCAAGTGTAAAAAGTTCCCGAATAAAACTCCGTTTGGCGGATGCTTTGCCTTTGCTCTCCAATGTCACTCTGCTATTGACAGTTCCTCACCTATTGCTAGTACACCAAAATGAAGCCTTTGATCACTAAGACTGCGTGAGCACTTTAGCCAACCCTATTCGGAAACTGACACCGGCTAGGCCCACCTGAAATGAATGGTGGATGCGTATAACTTTAGCGAATGGGCTGGGGACGATAACAGCATCGGGGCGAACATCGAAAACATCAATCCAAAAGACCACTACGAAGCGTTCCTGGATATTCTAGGCGCAGTCCAGGGTAGCGAGATCAGTGATATGGTAGCGACTTCGGCCCCAAGGCGCTTGGACGAAGAGGCAAGGACAGTTGATCTAAGCCAGGACGACAGCACTACCGCCCAACGCGGTCGCCACTTCTACACCACGCTCCAGAATCTCCAGAATTCGCCTTTACGCGGCATGACTCCCCAGCCGCGTAGAGGTTGACGCGGTATTGAAGGTCCGAAAGAATGAGGACAGCACCGTGACGGCGAATATCCAGGGCAGACAGATCAATCCGTCTTCTGCACACGCTAACGGGCCTTGCGGAAGCCAACGGCGGCCCACCCACAGAGGAAAAAGGGTCAGCGGACGGAGTCGCCCCGGGCAAAGAGATGCGGCTCGAACTCGGCCGGTACACGACGTATGTCGATGTCGCCTTGGGTCTCTGCACGCGGCTGTAGTAAGAAGACGGGAGGCTACACTTCCGAAGTTCCAATTACATCGGTGGCGAGGGCGGCACGGGCAAATCTCGCGTCATTCACGCCGTTAAGGACATATTCCGGCTAAAAGATGGCCTCCATACGCTGCTCCTAACGGGTGCCAGCGGAATCGCGGCCACGGTCATTGACGGAGTGAGGCTCCACTCGGCGACGCACATTGGATTCGAGGGCAAGAGCGGGGTGGTAAGGAACATATCGGAAGGGGAAAAGCTACGTTGGAAAAACGTGATTATATTACTCGTCGACGAGATCAGCCAGGTGGGCGGTCTCACGCTCGCGGCCGTGGACAGCCGCTTGCGGCAGTGTAGGGACGACCGGCATCGACCTTTTAGCGGGATTCCAATCGTCATGCTATATGGCGACTTCTTCCAGTTCAACCCCGTGTGACACACCAGCCTGCTCTTGCCAGAGCCCAGGGATGGAGGCGGACAGAGACCGGAGAGCTCGGCAAAGCACCTAGGAGCATATGGGCTGTTTCTCCAGTTCACGGCCGTCGTCATCCTCCGCGAACAGGTCCCGCGGCCGGTTGTCCAAGGCTGCGGGGCTTCTTCCGGCGGCTGCGCAAAGGCGAGTAGACCGAGCAGGACTTCTAGGGGCTGTATCGCCGCATCTATACGCCGTCGTCCAAGGCCTCTCTCGTAGATGGCCTGAGAGCCATCACGTCCCTGAATCAAGACCGGTGGGACCTGAACATAGCCGCCGTCGTGCCGTGGGCTCGTGCCCACGGCAAGCACATCCCCATCTTTGTCACCGAACACGATACCGAGTCGGGGAGGCGGCTGCGCGTCGAAGAGCTGTGCCACGTCGTCTGCTATGGAGACGACTCGCAGCTGTCGACCCCCGGCTTGTTCTTCTATGCGTAAGGGATGCCGGTGGTGGTGGCTCGAAACCAGTTTGTCGGCTTGAAGGTGGTCAACGGGCGCCTTTTAGGGCTGCAGATATCTTGCAGAATCTTTCCGCTGGCACCATTGCCCTCGCTAGCGACGTGACTCTCTATCTCGGCCCCCCCGTGGCAGTCCTCCTCGAGTCGGATAATAGCACGAGTTTCGCGCCCCCGGCTCACTAACGGCACGATCCTGATCAACAGCAAGACGGTCGCCGTACCGAATAACATGCGGGGCAAGGAAGCCAGATCGAGGGGTAAGCCAGGGTTCCGGTAGGTCACCCACAGAACGGGACCTCTTTGTACGCCGGCCTTTGCCATGACGGATCAGAAGAGCCAAGGCAAGCAGTTTTCGAGCGTCCTTGTCGACTCAAAGGCGTCCACTCGAGCGGCATGGCGACACGGCCCAGCTTTATGAGCTTATACGTGCAGCTGTCGAGGGCGGAGAGGCGAGACGGACTGTACCTCTTTCGGAACCGGCGTGCGGCGACTCTATCGAGTTGAAAAACGTGCTCGGCAGACATGACAGCCGCCATCGCCAAGCTAGACGGACGGGGCGAGGAGACCAGGCGGCGGTTCGAACGAGATCACAGGCACGAGTCGTGGTTCCGGAATGGGACGCCATGGTCGAAGCAGCCCAGGTCAATGCAGCCGCCGACGAGGAAGAGGACGCGTCGCTCTGGTGTGACATCAAGATTTCCGAGACAGCATCGTAATATGGATAATGAAGCACGGGATCCTCTGTTCTGGTGCAATAAATATGACGTTGAATAGCGCGCGTCCTGGAGACTCTGATGACGTCAGTGAGGCTATTCCCGCGGTCGCCTTAATCCCCGCATGTAACGAACGGAAAACCAACTGCGGAAAAAGAACATAAAGACAAGCGAAACAACGCAGTGATATTTGTCTAAAGTAGACACCGTTTACTATTAGAAGAAACGAGAGCTGGTGCGTGCTTGGGTAGGGCGGCCGGGAAAAGCTCGGAAAAGGAACAAACATAGTTCCTCCAAGCACCTTCAAAAGATTCGCAATGTACGGATTATTGCTGCAGGGTGGTGGGGGGAGCTTTGCCGTATAAAGTATTGGGGTGTGCTAGATATAGTCACTATGGCGGTACGACCTTCGCTAGATTATCCTTGGGATATGCATGGCCTTGGGAGCTTGGGCAGGTAGGAAGAGGAATGAGTGGAAAGAACTTGATGAGGTGATGGGTCGAGGGACACTTCTGTGGTCTGATGCACATTGAGCTGTCTTGGACATGTATCAATAATCGGACTTCCTTTGGCAGGTGAATGGGCAGAAGGTGACTGCCATGCAGGTACGTTCCTTTGTTCTCAACTCCTGTTACTGCCCCTGCAATGATATGTTACCATTTCAAGATGTTGCGGGCCGTGCCGGGTTGGCAATTCGGGGACTGTTCTCGACCACAGACTTGGAGGCAGATGAGCGGGTAATCCACATCCTTCCAGTGCAAGACACACGTGCAACCCTACTTCCCGCTTGAGCTGCCAGTTCCAGACTCGAGAACTGCGGGCCCTTCTTCGACGCCGCGGGCATGCAGCGGCAAAATCATTACAGCCGAAATGAGTGCAACAACGAAGAATATTTCGCCCCCAACCTGGATCCTTCGGACTGCGAGGTTACGGACAAGCAGTGTTGCGACTCAGAGCATATAAAGGTTCCGAATGGTCTTTCTCTGGAGGACGGTTCCCCCGTCTATGGTCAGGCACAGAAGCAGCACGGAGAAGAGAACTGATCGGCGATGGCTCCAACTCTATCCGTTGTGATCCTGACTGCTGTTTTCGCCCCAGCAATCGGCAATGTCCTTGCTCGGGCGCAACTAGCCCAAGGGTGCACCGCCAACTCATTCACAGCACCGAGCTGGCTTGTTGAAAACTTTGTATCTCAGGCGTCGGGGAGCAGTGTGGTTGCCTCGTTCCATGCGCTCAACCGAGCCACCAACACGTCGCTGGAACTGAGATGCCAAACTTCCCTGGCTAACGCGACAGCAGGATGGCAAAGCTGCTCTTCCGGTAACGGCACCGGTTCGGGTGTAACCTTGATGGCTTCTTTCCAAACCGACCAGTCGACAGCTTGGTTCGTGTTCAACGAGACTTGGAGCTGCAGCGATTTTACTCCAGCCAACCCGTAAGGTCCCCGTCTCTTCGTTGCCCGACCTAGACTGACGTGGCACGTCTTCATGCTATAGCATTACGTTCACCGCGGTTGGCAACTCCTCCGTACCCCTGAGCTGCACGACTCAAAGCCAGACAACGACCTGCAGATCCAGCAAACCCTTGCTCATCAAAGCCGGCCTGCTCTCGCCCGTCAAGATCACCCCGGCGTACGTTAGTGGACCGCCCGGGCACGACACTGAGCGCTGCACGGCCCGGTCGGGAACACCGGCATGGGAGGTGGTAGCCGCCCAGGTCAACTTTGCGTCCACCTCCGGTGCCTGGGTCATCATTAGAAACGACGTTCTGGACTACACTGCCACGTGCTACGGACCACTCACTGGCGACGAGGGGCCCCAGCCATTGACTTGCCAGGGCCAGGCCCCCATCTATGGCCGCCCACCTAAATACCAGATCAACACCGCGGCCACGTTTCAGGTCAGAAGTTTCGCGCTCACCGTCAACCAGACCTGGTTCTGTGACGACCAGGACCCGGCACAGCCGTATGTCACTCCTTGTCCCAGTTCCTCCCCACCGCTATTTTATTTAACTCCCTCAATCTGCCAGCATCTCCATCACCGCCTCCGGTCGGACTATTCTCGACCTCGCATGCAGCCACTTCAGCTTCCCCGATATCGTGACCTTCTGCACCGGCGGTACAGACGGCACCTTCCCGGGCAGTATCACGTCGCAAGCTCTGCTGCAGCCCTATTCGCTGAACGACCCGCTCCCGACGGCCGACAGCTGCACTATCTCGTCCGTCCTATCGCCGGCCTGGTGGCTCAACAACTTCGAGACTGAGACCACGACCGGCAACAGCGACGTCGTCACAGCCCTCTTCGACATGGAGCTCCAGACCGGCCGCTCGCAGGTGCAGCCGACGGGGAGCGGTGCCACCCTCATTGCTGACGGGGTACGCGTCTCGACAAACTCGTCGTCTTCGGAGCTGCCGTGGAATAAGTGCGAGCTCTACGCGGTGAGCGATACGGCGCTGGCTCCGACGGGGTGTGAGATAAAGTATGACATGGCGAGTCGGTTCTTGGGTTTGAAAGTTGATTGGCGGTGCGCGGATTTGGACCCAGGGAGCCCGTAAGCATTGACCCTTGCTGTTGGGATCAGTTGAGAGGTCCGGGGTGTTGCTGACTCGTCTTGCCAGGATAACCTTCAACGGAGAGGTGCGGACCCAGGTGCCGGACTACACCTGTGTTACTTCGGGCACGAACATACGGTGTGCTTCGCCTGATCCGAAGCCGTGGAGAGCCAATGTCACGTCGGTGACGTGGCGGTAGCGGGTATTGGTACTGGCTACAGGAGAAAGAAGACGGCGTTTGAGGGAAGCAGTATCAGTTGACACCAAGGGGCAATGTCAACTGGGGCTGGTTGTTCACACGAACATACAGTTGATACGCAGGAATCGAACTTAGAAAGTAATCTTTATTTGCGTACTACCGTAAACAACTTTCCTACCTAGGATGTCCTTTCCATCAACAACAACAAGAACAAGAAGAACCATAGTGACAACGCCATAACGAATATCACCAGCTTCGTTAGCCATTGCGCTCCTCCCGACAGGTTATGAGCCCTCGGCGCTCCCAGAGCTAGCTGAGGAATAACTGATCACTACTTTGACGACTTTCCCATCACCGATTGGACGAGCAGAAGCGTCATCAACTCAATCTCGACAACCCTACCCCTACGTGGTCGTGATCAGAATGACCAACACTCCGGCACCGCTGGTGCTACGGACAACCCTATGATGGTCATTTTCCAGCAAATCCTCCAGAACCAGTCGAAGGTCATGGAGGGATTGGAAAACCAGGCGCAGTTGCAAACCCAGTAGATTGCCGCTCATGTTGGCAGGCGTCAGGTACCACTAATCGATCCCCTCAAACGTCACGAAAAATTTCCTGCATGGCGGAGCAAGCTTCTTCACATTCTTAAACGCTACGACCTGAATAAGTACATCCTCGCCGACGTTCCTCAACCGGAAGACCCCACGGAGTTGAAGGAATGGCTCGACGACCGCGGCGACGCCGACGATTACCTCCAGGCGGTTGTTGGCGGCCTCAAGGTCTGGCGCTACGTCCAGGGCATGGGTTGGAAGGATAGGGATCTCAACCAGAAGAAAACCATTGACAAGCTCACCCAATATTTGAGGGCGGCTCGGCTGATGGCTTGGCCAACCAGCACAAGGAAATCGCCACGATTCGCTGTGAGGCCTTTGCATTGATGGAGGTTTTCCAGTCATGTGTCAACTACCTGAAGAGCCGAATTCAAAAATAAGGATCAGCTTTCCAGATTGCTGATGAGGGCTTTGGATGGATGACACTGCTGGGCATCGCCCACTGTTATTGTTGCTCACATCGGCTCACATCTTTCCACATCGCCAAAAGCAGGGTTTTCATCCACTTCGTTTCTGTATCATGCATCAACAATGCAAGCAAGTTCGTCTTCATGATCACCACTTCCGCTTGTTCCTCCCACAGGTCATGAGCCCTTAATCCCCGCCGCTACTTACGCGACGAACGCCATAAGAAGGCTACAAGCGCCTCTATAGGGTGCACTATATCGCACGCGTCTGTAGGCTACGGAATTCCAGGCCGTCATGTTGGACTGAATCGAAGAGTACCCGTATCTCAAACAATCATGATCAATCTTTCCTCGCAGCCCCGGAATAGTGGGAGCTCCCACTCGGTTGGCTCACTAGGTGAGGATAGTAGGGGCTCGCGCTCGGGCTTGCTGGACGCATCGCCGCATTTCTGAACTGCAGTGCAGAAGGCCATTCCAACCCTCGTGTAGACACCACCCTCCCCAGGTTGCCTCTGGAGGACCAAAAAGCACGATACTGGGGGTATCTTTTGTGATGGGCTGAGCCCATGATGGCCTCGGCAACCCTCGGCCGTGGTATCATGATAACGTCATCCTGAAGCAGGCAGTGTCTGTGTGTTCCGGAGCATATAAGAGCTGCCCTCTCTTCCTGTCATATAGTTCTCTCTTTTCTTTTTCTTTCTCCATTCGAGGCAAACTCGTAGAGTCGTCACCAGCTAGTTGCAATATACTCCTGGGACCGTTACATCTTTTGTCCTATCCTCGGACTCTTAGTCAGATGTGTTAACTTCTTCCCTCTCCGTTGCGGTTCCATGTAGTTAGTTGAATATAAGCGTATTCCACGTCTCGATCTTCGGAAGGTCTTTTCAAGAGGTCAGTGACGAGCTTTGTGAGCGACCGGATAAACTTGGTCAGGAGTCGGACAAGAGTAGTGCCCGGTTTACCTGTACATGATCTCAAGATCATGACTGACCGTGAACCCATTCGCGAGCCGTCCAGTGTGGTTCATCTCACCCTCCGGCTGGCACCAGATCTCGCAGACTTCGGCATTACTGACAATGTGCATCATGCAGCTATCGTTGCTTGGCGCACCGTTCAAGGGGCCGGCTATCTGGCCATCAATTGATGCCCACGACCACGTTGGCGCTCTGTACTTGGCCGGTCTGGTGCCGCCATGCGGCATCCGCCACGTAAGATCGAGGACTAGACGGCTCTCCCACAATCCTGCGTGATATCTGTCCCCTTCTCCGTCCGTGACAGCGTTGGTGGCGTCACGCGTCAGGGTGGCGAGGCCGGATATGGCCGCGAGCTTGTCCTCGGCCTTCGTGAGTTGTCTCAAGGAGTACTCTTTGACCATTGTCTGTCAGTCTCTCAAGATGCTGATATGGTTCACGTAATGTTCTTGCCCGTTTGCCCAACGACTCTGGTTGCTCAGACCTAAGGCGTATTTGATACCATGTGATGGTGGCCCGCTGAGAAACTTGAAGTCCCATTCGTGTCCGCACTCGCAAATAGTGCGGGCAAGTCATTCCCAAACCATCTCATTGCCCGTGAACATGAGCTTTCGGTTGGGCAAGAGGTCTTCCTGCATGGTCCAGCTATCCAGGGGAAAGTTGGGTCGATCGAAATTAGGCCCGCCCTTCCGAATGAACAGTCTGCTGCTCTCGACGTGTTGAAGAAACTCCCATGTCATTGGCCATCCCTTTTTCAACACACGTCCCAAACTTGCTGGAACTTGTGTCTTCAAAGGCCACTGCCAGCTGCCGCGCACGAGGGCGCGGCTTTGGCGTAGATAGTTAGGTGCGACCTGGCGTATATCTCGCCCATGGCGGATGACTGCTGTGCCCAGTCCTCGGAGATGTTATGTACAATACGAGCGAATCTACCCAGAGATGCGGGATTCCAAGGTTTCTGCAGACGAATACCGCGTCCGAGACTGACTTCGGCAGCGCTGCTTCGTCAATCTGTTTCATGTGCGTCGAGAAATTCTCGACGGTGGTCGTTAGCACACCGTCAAGGTCGGTGCCCCAACAATAACTTAGGCAAGCATTGACTGCCGGGTCCTTAGGCTCGACAAGGCGGAGTTCGTTCTGATCCTCGTGGGGCAGTCCAACGTACATCAGCCTTTTTGGCTTGAACTGCGAATCCGGAATTATGCAGCAATCGTCCGTCTCCAGGCAGTGAGAGAGCCATTTTTATATGCGGTCAAATGCCACACCCGAAGGCGTAGCTTCCACAATTCGGAGGCTCGATTTCAGCAGGTCAGCCTCGTAATAAGAGGTGCTACCGCGATAACCGGGATGACAAAGGAGTTCGTCTGATCGTGTAGGAAGGGAACATTGTCAACACCTTCTCAAACTTAGCATAATACCGCAGCACGACAGCGACTAACCTGCTGTTTGATGAAGCAACTGAAAAGACACATTGTGTCCCAAAGATTGCAATCTATCTTCCGATGGGCCCAGATAGACAGCGAAAGGCTCACTGCTCATTTCGGAATGTATAGAGGTCCTTTCCCACGCCACCGCCATCACCACCAGCGGCACATTCGTGGCTGTTGGCTTTCCAACACTCCTCCGGGACGGTCGGAATGCCGTAGAAGTCGTAGTAGAGGTATATTTCCTTATCGTCAACGGCCTGCGATGTCCAGCCTGGGCAGAACTCATCGATGGCCTCCAGAAGTATTGTGCATGCTGCGCAGCCTTACCACTGGAATCTCGAAAGGCAGAGAGCGGGGAATATTGCCCGCCACTGAGCTCTTCTCCCCAGACTCCATCTGAGCAGATGGCGGACGCGGAAAAACCCCATAATAGAGCTGGTACGGCCTGAAATTCGTCCATTTCGACAGAGAACTAGGACAAAAAGACCGTGAAATACTGTGCTCACCCTTTTCAGAGAAGTGCTACGCCGCTTGCGATATGTGTTGGTCGAGAAGAGATGCTACATCCCGCTGTGTTGAAAGACCGAGATCGGGCGAACACATGCATATGCACTCTACATGTACAACCTGAAGCTCGCTCCGCACCTGCCAACTACGGAGGCTCGAGCCGCATATCAGGAGAGGTCCAGAGACAAGTGTTCCGTGCCGTGCCATAGCAGCGTGATCATGGTCTGAGGTGATCATGGTCTGAGGCTGCCGTCAGGGCAGTGGTGTTGAACACCAAGACCTCAACCGATAGTGATATCCGACGAAGTAATCTCACCTAGGTACCCATATACAACGTTTCTGCGTGCGATTAAGCGACGTTACTGGCTAAGTCTAGTAGTATTGAAGCATTCACCTAGATATGGCTTTACCACGGTCTTCAGCACTCCCGTCAGACAAGGTAGAACCCGGTCATCTGCCGCACACCCACAACCTCACCACCCATAACTTCGTCACAGTACGCTTCTCCCACAAATCGAAACAACCTCGTCCCCTTCACTCCCTCCCCTTCTCCCAACCCATCCTCCATTGGCCTCAAAACAACCGGAATCCTTCCACCATAAAACACAATCACCACATCCCCCTCCTTCACGCCCGCCGGTCCCATACACAACTACCCCTCGGCCGCACAAAACGGTTTCTTCCCCGTCATGTACTTCATACTCTCCCTATACTCATCCCCAACTCACGGCGCTGCCTCTTCACCTCCCAATCTCACTCCTCAAACGGCCCATTCCGCTCCGCGACGTCAGTCAACTTCTCGCACTCATCAAAAAAAGCGCACATTCTTCACGCACTGCGCCCAATGTCACGCCACCTCCGTTTCCGATTCTGTTTCCGAACCAACACCACCACCCGGCCCGGCCCCGGCGGCGGTGCTGCTGCTACACTGTGACGGCGCATGCGCCCGCCGCCGCTCGTCCAGAAAAGATCGCCGATGGGCACGCGCCAGCGGGCTTCGCGCCGTCGGGGCCTGGGGGGGTAGAATTGTGGGCGTTTCGAAGGGTGGGTACTAGTAATAGCGAGGCTGTGGTCGAAGAGCGCGTCGACCTGGGCGAAGAAGCGCAGGTAGCGCGCCGCGACCCAGGACGTGTCGTCCCAGGCGTCGCCGGTGGCGATGATGGAGATGCTGTCGACTATGTACCCCGTCAAGCCGAGGGCAGAGTGCGGCGTTGAAGGGGCCGTGGTGGTTGTGGGGAAGGGCTGACGCTGGCTTCCGAGCCGCAGGCGATGAAGAGGTGGGTGTCGACGGCTTCGTGGATGGTATAAAAGGACGGGCGGAGGTTGCCGCGCCAGTCGGGGACCCAGCAGGGGAGGTCATCGGCGAGGTCTGGGGCCTTGGGGACTGAGAATAGCAGAGGATGTTGATGCGGCCGGTGGAGGGGTTGGTGATCATGGCGCGGGCCGCGCGGGTGAGCATGCGGACTTCCGAGTGAGCTTCGCCTACGTTGGTGTAGTCTGGGCGATAGCGAGTGAGCGGGTGTCAACTGCCAGGCCTAAAAGCGAGAAGACGCGGTAGCGGTGGAACTTGGCGTTGGTATTGCGGCCGACGTAGCGTTTGCGTAGGAGGGCGTGGAGTTGGTCTCCCATGGCGCGCCTTCCTCACTGCGGTCAAGCTTCCGGCGGCGCTGGCGACAGCTGAAGAGACGCGCCGTGGGTTCCTCGGCAACCTCGTTCAGGAGCTTGAAAGGCACCCCGGCGCGGGCATAAACGGTCTCCATCAGACGGGCGACTGAGAACTGCAGAACCTGGACGGCCAGCATCACAAGCACGACCTGGACGCTCTTGGTGCCACAGATGAAGACGGTGTTGGCGCAGAAACAAAACTCCTGAACCGTCCAGGCTCGTCCGAACCACGACCGCAAACCAGTGTCGGAGGGTCTGGCGAATAATGAGCTGTGCAAGCTTCTCTACCCCTAACCTCACCAAGTTCTGGAACTGCGCAGTCTTTGGGACGTCAGGGTCGATGTTGCTCAGGATACGGCTCAGAAGCCGCCACCTTTGGTGTAGTAGCTTTCCATGCCGAAATTCCGGGCCTCCTGGCCTACCGTCTGCCACGCTTCCATCAAAGCGTCTGAGCCGTGCTCTTCCGGTCTCACCAACACGAGCACCAGCTCGGCCGGGCCCAACCACACAAGTATCTGCGCAGCCTTGGTGTAGTTGGGTCCCATGAGTCGCACCTGTTCTCTCTTTTCATCATCATCTGGATGGTTAATGCAGATTTGGTCGATTCACGGGCAGATAGAGATGCGAGCATCGCGGAGGTGAAGCAGGGCCGTGTGTAGCGATTCCGTGATGGCCAAGGCCCTGGGCTCACCGGCGCTGCCCTCCGCGGGGAGCACAGCGATAGAGCATGACATGGCGCCATTGCCCTATGAAAACGCCTTGTATTCGTGCGCTGGCTGCCCGATCCCGCTCACCAGGGTGCGGCAATTGAGCTGCGCCTCGCTGGCTGGCGGCAGGATGTCCTCCCAGAGGTACTGACGCCTATATGCGAGTGTGGAGAGGGGCGAGAGACTGTCGAACACCTTGTGATGTGGTGCTTGGCCCCACCGTTGACTCGAAGATGAGAGAGAGCCGAGGTAGAAGCTGGAGCTCGCGGCCTGATATCCCTTTCCTTCGAAGGTCGAAGGCCAAGAGGCCTCTCACTTTGTATTTGCAGGATTACACTTTGATCGTTTCCTTGATTGTCGATATGGGTTTTTCACCCGGCCAACAAGGGCGCGGTTCTCCTGTATAGTAAGTTGTTGAAGGTCCGGCACGCCCTAGGGCACAGCGGTGTAGGAATATTAATAATATATGTGAAGACTACCAGGCCCGATGAGCTCTGGTATACTGCACAACGCCGTAACTGCATCCGTTCCTCGTCTATATCTGAGCGACCAATCCGCGGTCTCTACGGCGAGCTTTGGGCCGTCTTAGTCTTCCAGTTTGAGTGTTGGTCAAGTCCGTCCAGACTGACATCGTACAAATCCTTTCGAGTCTCAAGGGGTCAAAGTCTTGCACAGTAGGTAGGGTAAGGTTCCTATTCTTCGCCGCCCACCCCAACCCTCTAGCCAAGGGTTCACGAGGCCTCCATTTCGGGGCAACCCATCCTTGGTGCCTTGGCATAGCAAGGTTGTTCAAGCTCAGGGTGATGTCCGTCGTAACCCTACGGATCTGTAGCTAGAACTGGATGTCAACACCGAGAGCCTCAGTTACTAAGCTCTCAACGAGCTGCAACCCGTCCTCTACAGAGCCTCAATCAATGTCCTACCGTGGACACGTGGCTGTTGGGCTTCCAACAAATCCCCTACCTCGACGATCTCCGTTTCAGGGTGTGGCCACCGATTCGTGGAGTTGTAAGCAAAGTTAAGACAGACGTCACTCTCTTGGTCCCCTTGGAGGGAAAGGGAAGGAGGGGAAGGTTGGGAGGCTCAGTGGAAAGTTCCCTGCGTCTAGACTCATACGGCGTGATGATTCGCGGAATTGGTATCTAGTCAATCTTCCTAAGGCTTAAGTTCCAGTTCTTTTCGAGGCGTGATACAAACTGGGTAACGAAATCGCCAAATGCTCTGCAGTGCAGTCCGCCATGCCGGAGCGCCGCGCCGACTCTACCTTGTACGTCGGCTCGGCACCCGGAAGCTTCCATTCCGAGCATCGCGGATCTCCAGGTTCCGAAAGAGTTGCTTCAGTGGTCAGACTGTGTCAAGGAACTTCTAATTTGTTATCCTTGGCTTGATTCAGTCTACTGAGAGGGAACAACAGTGTTGGTGTATAAAAGGATGATTGTCATATAGTTTCCAACGAAAAACCGTCAACCTGTGTCCAATTCTCCCTCTCCAAGCGCTACTGGGACTGGATTTCGTTCTTCCTGGTATCCACCTTCCAGCGCCATCTTTCCACTCTCGTCGCCATGCGCAAGAACGCATTTTCGCTTGTGGCGTTTGCTGCCCTTCTCTCGCCTGTCCTCGGACACTGGAACTTCGAGTCGCTCATCGTGAACGGGAAGGACACCCAGCCCTACGAGTACGTGCGACGGACGAAGAACAGCAACGGACCCGTCGAGGATGTCAACTCCCGGGACATGATCTGCAACAAGGGCGGAATCGACGACGACGTCATGAGCGCGACCAAGACCTACAAAGTCTCACCGGGAGACCAGGTCGGCTTCAGGGTCCGCGACATTTGGGGCCACCCCGGCATCCAACAGGTGTACATGAGCAAAGCGCCAGGAACGGCTCAGTCGTACAAAGGAGACGGGGACTGGTTCAAGGTGTACTCGCTCACGACGTCCAACCTGACCGCGGATCCGATCTGGTGGGCCCCGTTCGTCAACAACCAGGGCATTAAGGACTTCAGTTTCACGCTGCCCACAGACCTGCCGCCCGGCCAATATCTGATGCGTGCCGAGGGTCTCGCACTCCACAGCGCAGGCACGTACGGGGGGGCTCAATTCTACATCGGCTGCGCGCAGCTCGAGGTGACGGGGAGCGGCAAAGGCACGCCAGGGCCGCTCGTGAAGTTTCCCGGCGCGTACACCGGCTACGAACCGGGAATCCTGGTCGGTCTGTGGTGGCCGCCCCTGCGCAACTACACTGCCCCTGGGCCTGCCGTGTGGCCGAACAACTGCGAGGACCATTCTCCCAATACTCTCGGCAAACCGAGCGACGGAGATTGTACGCCACTGGCCGCTAACGCGAGAGGGTGACGGGCTAGCGGGTCTCCTGTTGATCTGGTTGCGCGCCGGTCTCCACACCGTCGCTCCTCTGGCCTGCAACGTCTTGGAGCATGGCTACCTATCCTCAATTCTTAACACCGGCTACTCGTCTCAGATTCAGGCTTGGAGGCCCGGAACGTGAAGAAAAACCACCTAGGTTGTCGATGAATGCTAAGTGGATTGTCATCAACCTTCGTACGACCGATCGGTGAATACCAGGCTACTGCCCATACTCCGGTTGCAACAGGCAATCAGGTTTCACTCTTAGCATTTCTGAGGGCATGGAGAGTTTCATACGCCAGGCAAGCCAACTTGTAATCAGGTCTTTTGCCCAATTTGCGGGAGAGCGGTTGCATCGAGAGTGAACGTGTGGGCGACGTTCGAGTTGAGCATTGGCACGGCAATCCTCAAAGCTGCCTACCTTATGTATAAGTACATTACACTTCCACTGGGTAGCGTGTTGTTCGATCAGAGTATTTCTTGACTTAGAACTACGGCCTAGGTTGAAGTTGTGTGGGAAAGCGTGAGGCCTCTCAGTCGGATTATCGCTCTTCGAGGTATGCTACCTATCTACCTCAACCAGATCCTGGTAGGTAACGCTGTTTGAGAGCAGTGCATGCTTTGGTTGATTCGTCCAGAGGGGAATTCACGGTTGCGTGGGAATTTGGATGTTTGCTCGCAGTGGCCACATGTGACGCTTCAAGCCCACCACCACGTCTTACATGCAGCCACATCCTGGCCCTGCGTGCATCTTCGTGGTTCTGCATCCATGGATCGATCACTCTAATTGCCATCCCTGCCTGTCATACTTTAGAGGTAGCTCGGGTTACAAAAACGAATCGAAAACGCCGCCGGGTTCTTGTGGCGCAGTCAGCCGAGTGGGAAGAGGAGCACCCTCGCCGCCTCCTGCATGTCAGACCAGGGTCCGTTCCTCTGCCTTGCAGCAACACTTCAGTTGTGGCAAGCAATCTGTCCCGATTAGCGACACTGCCTGCATAAACCATCGCATCGAGTCCCTGCAACATGTCTGGGATCCGATGGTCAGTACTCATGACATGGGGATTGAGGACACCAGACATGGGGGATCTGAGGACATATGAACGAATATAAAAGGGGGCACAAGCCCAGTCTTTGGTGCATCGAATTGTTCTCGACAGTCGGCTGCAGCCATAGACAGTCAAGAACAATCCACCTTCTTCATATTTTCAAGAACCTACAGAAGGAGGCTTCCCCTTCAAGGTCCCTTACCACTTACTATTTCCCACTCGCCAGTCGCAAGCCGCAATACCGGAACCATGTCCTCCCAGCGCACCGCCTCCTCCGTCCCTTTCACCATCGACAATGTCCTGCCGGGCATGCTCGCCTTCCCCGACTCGCCGGACATCTACCGCATCCGCCTTGAGCCCGAGCACGCCGGCGCAGGCGGGCCCACCATCAAGTACCTTACCGCCCCGAACACAAGCAAGACCCTCACCGGGCCCGACGCTCATCTCCGCCGCCTCGGCAACCTCGCCTTTGACCGCGTTCCTACCGGCGATTGGATTGTCGGCCGGCTCATCGCCGCCCCGAACGTGGGCAACGACGACGAACGCAAGCTCCAGCTTGCCTCTATCGAGCCGGGCGACGCCGCCACTGCGCTCATGAACTCTCTGGGCCTGTGTAATGCCGGGCCAGTCTGGTGCGGCATGACCGTCGACGAGCGCGACTGCCAGCCGGATACTACTGACCCCTCGTCGCGCTGGACCACCGTAACCGTGCCCGCCGCCGCCGACGGCAGCGAGGAGGTTATCAGCGTGCCCAAGCCCACGGCTTTGCAGTGTATGGATTACTTCTCGGCCTCGATCATCCGCAACCCCCTTTCGGGCATTAGCATCGTGAACGGCGGTGACGACGTAGTACAGAATGACGAGGCTGTCCTCGTGTCGGACTGGATGCCGGGCCACTGGCAGGGCATCGAGAACGACGTACGCACCTACGAAATCATCCAGTCGCGCGATTCCGGGCTGGCGCCGCGCTTCCTGGCGCACGTCACAGAGAACGGCTCGCGCGTCATCTGCTTTCTGCTCGAGCATATCCCTGACGCGCGCGAGGCTGGTCCAGCCGACGTGGTCCGGTGCAGGGCTGCCCTAGCGCGGCTGCATACTCTCGGGATTTCCAAGGGGGGCCGTCTAAGTCAGCATTCATTTCTCGTACGGAAAGACGAGGAGGTCCTGATCCAGGGACCGTTTGCTGGCGCGTCTGTGGATGGGGATAAGGCGTTAGTTATGAAGGGGGAGATGGAGAGCCTTGAGGAGGTTTCGCCCCAAGCCCATCTCTGTTTGAGCACCAGGCAGCGATGATGTGTAGGCTGGTGGATCCCCAGCGGAGGAAGAAGCTGGACGAGTTTGAAAAGGCGCACGGGTGTGTGGTGCCGTTTGTGCACTGGCAGGACTCTAGCGAGGGCGGTGGGCGTATCACTCTTACACTGGAGCAACATGGGGTGCTGGCTGAGGAGTATGAGCAGAATGGGTACCGCTGGACGAAGGAGTTTCAGGAGCAGGCCTTGAAGCGGTTTGGGCCCTCCGTTGAGGGACTCTGAGGATTCTGAGCCATCGGGCGAACCTTGTGAATCCTAATGGAAGAGGAGTCTTGTTTGGGAGATGGTTCATGATTTCTGCTTTATGATCCTATTGTCTATAGGTACTGCTAGTGCCTAAACAATAAATATTACTGTCGTCCATTCGTTTTATCGGCCGTCTTGAACATCGAAGGAGGCAATAGTTATATGCAATGGCTTCCCCTTAGACCACGCATGGAGCGGAGCTCCGGGCGGCTGCTTTATAGACACTCCATTGCGGCTATTCAGCAACGATGAAGCTCCTGTCTCTGCAGGTGCCATGATGCCGCCGTATAAGGCATCGAAATGTCTCCTTAGTTCGGTTCGCTGAATGGACATGATACCTAGCAGTTGATACAATATATTCTGCCATCGTTAGACATTTTCCTCCTTGCCGCTCCCTTTTTTGGAATTGGGAATCCATGCCATCGCTCCATCTTTAACCTTGCCTACACTGTAGCACTTACAGGTTCCTTAGCTACCTTACCGTTCGTTGTTATCAGACATCATGGCAATCACACTCCCGACCCTCAAACAGAGCCAATTTTTCGTCCTGCTCATCAGCATCGTAACAAAACTCACCCACGCCTACCTCCCCAACTCCCACCACAACAGTTGCCCCAAACAGCTGGCAACTGCCATGAAGATAGTTACGCTGACTGCTAGAGGATTACGTTATACCATCGTTAGTCGGGCGCTCCTAACTATGTCAGAGACACTACAGTCTCCCTTCAAAAACCCTTAGCAATGACTCATATCCTGGCACCCGCCTTCAAGCCTCCTACAAAGCGAACCATAACGCAGTTATTGGAAGACCAACAGCCACGATTCCACGGTGTTACATCGAGGAGAGGTCACGACAGTGAGTTGGGTGCTCCAGAGCACCAAGAAGTGAATTCTTTATTGAAGGTCCTTGATCCTCCCTCATCTCCAGTGGTGGGCATCGTCCTGATCCTGTTAAATAGTTTATTCCCAGCCCTTGTTGGTCCTCAACAGTAGAGCATCGGCAACCCAGCTTCCGAGTGTCAAGTTCCATTACTTCCAACAACAAGCGTTTCAGGGTACCGCGACTATCCAACAACAGTTAACGATGGGTTATCTCAGGCAGTTTGGTGGGTGATCCGCCGGATGACCCGCAAATGATGGACGCGCCTCTGAAATAACACATCATTAGCTCCCCAGCGAACCTAAACTCAGCATCGTCTGTAGAACCTGTTGGAAAGCCAACAGCCACGAGTGTACCGCACCGTAGTAATTATTATTCCTACACCGCTGTGCCCTAGGGCGTGCCGGACCTTCAACAACTT